GCCGCTGCCGCCCCGGCCTCACCCGTGCGCTCCTCAGCCACTGTCTCCCCGGCACCCCCACCCGCCGCGTCCCCACTGTGCCAGGCCACCCAGACCCCATGTCACGGCCCCCTAAGCCAGCTGGGCTGGGCCACGGCCCGCACGGAAGTGTCCCACATGCTCACAGCGCCCTGACCTCACGCAGGCCCGGGCCCTGGGTCAGACGTGACGACTGCACGCCAGGACACCTGCCATCCCACATGGGGTCGCCATCTCCCTGCACTGACGTCCCCCTCCACAGGGTCAGGCCTGCCCCACGTGCTGGGTGCCAAGGCCTCTCCCACCCTGCACGGGCTTCCCCCATCCACCTGCCCCCACATGTAGATGCCCCCCCACAACATGCCTGGGCTCCAAGCCCCTGCACCGGGCTGGCCTCCTCACTCGGGCACCCAGCTTGGCCCCTGGCCTTCATGGCAGGCGGCCCTGGCCAGTGGGTGCCCTCTTCACCCATGGGCGCCCTCTTCACCCGTGCGCCCCAACACCTGCTCTGGGCCACTCCAGCTCTCCCCACCAACGGGGACAGCTATTCTGCTGTGCCCACCTCAGGTCCTCAGGCCTGAAGCGGGGGCGGGGGCGCGGTCCCCTGCCTCGGCACCTGGAGGGCAGTCTCCGGCGGGACGCAGTGCGTGGCCCGTGTCCTCGCGGCCCTCTGCCTGCCAGGTCTGCTCTAGCTGGCACCGTTTCTCATTTGTCCCTCTGCTCGGTCACCTCCGATCCGCCGTGGCAAACGCAGGGCGTGCGTGAGTAACGGCACGCGCCGGCACCCCAGGAGGACGGAGGGGACTACATGTCGCCATCGGCTGCCCGTCCGCAGCATCCAGCGCTGCGAAGGCCAGAGGGACACTGAGAACCCTTGACGGCCGGGAAGGTGAAACAGACGAGAGTGCCCACCAAATGTGACAGAGGGGACCGTGCGCGACCGAGTCCGGGGGCCCCTCAGCGCGAGCCTCGCCCCCTTGGATGCTGAATCGTGTGTCGTGGTGGGGGCCACCTGACAGGTCCCAGGGACGGGTACTCGGGAGGCTTAGAGCGGCAGCTGCCGACCAGCCGGCATGGGTCGCCTGCGGTCCCGCAGAGGTGGCCCTGGCCTGCCCTGTTTGTCACATGCTCAGCAGAGTTCGCACTACGACAGGAACTAAGTCGGCCGTGCGCCCACTTGACAATGAACACCCCCTCCCCTGCTTTTCTGGATTACGAACGAGGCCTGACATTAATTACGTCCTTCCTCCCGTGGGAGAATTTAAACGGAAGCGTGACTGATACGGCTGGGGGCTCGAAAGGCACGAATCCGAGCGTGAACACCCGCAGGGAAGGGTCTCTAATGAGAATGTTCTCGCATAACGTTTCACGTTTGCTCAGGAATCACTAGCAGATGCGAGAGAGAGATCTTAAAGACCAGTCGGTAATTGAAAATTTATTGCTTTTCCAATGAGCAGCCAGTCGTTAGAATTGTAGGGAATAGAAGAAAAATATAAGAATACTTAGTATGTATGTAGAAAGTCTTACTTTACGAGTCTCTCCACGTGCGGCTTCTAATTGCCCTGTGCTAATGTAAGCAGCCCCATTCCAGTTACGTGGGAGGCCACACACGACCAAGAAATGCTAGAGAGAAAACGCACATCTGTTAAGGCCAACTTCGATGGCCCTCACGGTGGCTGCTGAAACCAGATTTCAATAAACTATATTATCATTTGCAGTTTTCTAGAGGGAGAGAGAATGTATCTATTAATCCGCCTTGGAGTGGGACCGACAGGGCCAGTCTCCTTAAAGAACTTTCACAGAGTTTCTCATGGAAATTGAAAGCTCCAAGCATTAAAGTTACTGAAATACCTCAATGCAGATGTGATGCATCCCTCCGGCCTTGTTTTTCTGCAGAAAACCTGCAATCGGACTGTTATTTCCCAGAGGATGAAGGAGTTCCACCTTGGTATTTCCCAGGTTGACAAAAACGACAGACACTCCATGTTCCGGAAGAGAGACCGGCTCGCTGACCTGGGCCCCCAGAACACTCTTATGGAACTCCTTGGCCTTTTCCAAGTCTGGCACTGCTATGGCCACATGGTTGAGTCGACCCAGGTTCCACACGGGACCTGCCACTTGATGCGAGGGCTGGTTGGTGACAAAAGCTCTTACTGTTGGAACTGGAGTTCGAAGTCGGGGGAAAAGCACTGAAAAATAGAACAGCCATCGATAGTCTTCTTTTGAGAATAAATGCACTTCGAACATTAATTGAAAAATGAAATAAATTGTACATGCAATTTTTAATTACCGAAATTAAATTAGGAGAGAGAGAGGGAAAAACAAGTCAAAATCACTCGCTCGTCTCTAAAATAGCTGGAATTAAAAAGCTAATTCTGAGCTTTTTAGACTCGGAGCAAAGCATGACATTTTTCATGATTCGCACTTATTGATAACACTCAAAGGACAGCTGCACATCAAGAATTACTTGCTAGTCTGCATTTCACCGAGGGTACTTTTAAATGTGACAGTACAATAACATATTTAATGATGAGAACAAGCCATTTTCTTCCTTATCTATAACTACTTTTCTGTCACGTATTCTGTAATAAGCTCATTACAGCCATGAACATTCAGTACTTTTGAATGTGTATTTTATTTGAATGATCATCGGCTAAGGGAAATATCTCATTATTGGGGGAAAACAAGCAAAGATCGAGAGGGAACCTAAGCTCATGAAAACTTCCCCTGACATTGGATTTTTTAATGTGTTTTTAATAATTCTGAAGGATTAGAATTGTTTGTGAGTGCAAAGAAACCGCCTTCATCCGGAAACTGAAGAGGCCTGATTTGCTGTCCCCGGTCCCCAAACACTGGATTTAAGAGCTGGATTCTCTCCAGAATCAAAGTTACACACATGCACGAGGTGTAAACACAGTCTTGTAAATCTGCATCACTTAATAGAAAACTATGAAACATTGAAGAACACATATTGTAAATAATTGGTTTTTAGCTCTTGACACAAAACACTTTAAACAGTACTAAGCATCACAGAGCTTCGGCTAATGAAAAATTAGTTCTCCTTTACTGAAGTTTTTGATAACGAGGAAATTAAAGCGACACAGTTTGATTTTAGGCCATCGACCCTGTTGGGAAAGGCGGTCCCACGTGCACAGCCTTTCGACCCCCACTGAGTCGCACGCAGAAGGGTGGGCCTGGGCCTGGAACCTTCCTTACCAAGAGACAAAGAGCCCCCCATGGCCTGTGCCAGGCTGTCGCCTTGTACTGGGGACATCTTCTCCTCTGTCAGGCTCAGTGAATGCTCCTTTGTTTCTGCTTCAAGCGTGAGCATCGTGTGGCCCACCCCACTGTTACATCTGTCCTCTGAGGGGAGGGGACTGTCTTGTGCTGGCCACTGGGAGAGACCCGTTGGCCATGGGGGACTGACGCCTGGCACTGAAGCCGTCACACTGTCTCCTCCCCATGTAGGGAGTATAGTTCCACCCAGTGCGTGGAGACCCCGGTATCGAGATGCAGCGGGCCCTCCTCTGGGACTGGCACCCAGTACACAGTGCTCTGCTCGACAAATCGGATGTATCACGGGTCAGCAGAAGGCAAGATTCTGCCTCAGATGGTCTTCTGCTACGCTCCAGCCTGTATAATTGATGACTGAAATGTCTAAAGCTTCTCATTATCAGTAGGTTGGCACAGCCCCGTTCTACGGACTCACTGTATCATCAGGAAATTCAAGTGTGTTCCAACCCAGTACGCACATACACGTAAATGTACGATTGACAGCAAATGTCATAAAATACCTACTTCTCACCAGATGTGCTGTGCTCCGATATTATCTATTCTATTTTGGTTTTTAAAAAATACTGGTACCGCCCGCTAACGAGTACCTTGCTGGTTTGCCGTGACTCATTTTTCTGAGCTTCTCCTGTTTTTCCGTGACGTTTTACGTTCCTTAAAAGCGGGGTCATAACAAAATCACCATATGATCCATCGATCCCACTTCCGAGGATATATCCAAAAATAAAAGCTAGAATTCGAAGAGGTATTTATATACCCACGTTCATAGCTGTGCTATTCACAACAGCCAAAAGGTAGAAATAACCCGTGTCCGTCAACAGGTGCAAAGGTAAACTGTGGTTTACACGTACAATTACTCGACCTTGAAAAGGAACGAAATTCTGACCACGTGGCACACCACGGACGGTCCTTGAAAACATAGGAAGTGAAACCAGCCGGTCACAAAAGGACAACTGTCACGTAATTCCACCTACACGAGACACCTGCAGCAGTCAGGTTCACACAGAGGAAGGAGCGCGGTGGGTAGCTGGGGCAGGGGCAACGGGGTTACTGTCGAATGGGTGGACGGGTTCCGTTTGGGCCGATGAAAAAGTTCAAATGCTTCTCCTCTAATACTCGGAGTTTTACATCTTTCCTTCAGTTTGTGTCTAAGTGTCGCAGGGTGCGTGGGCTCTGGGCTCTACTGCCCGGCTTCCAGGCCCAACCCCGCCACTCCCTGTGTAACTTGGCCTAGTTATTACCTTGTGCCTGTGTTTTCTCATACGGGAAGATAACATCTACCTCACAGGACTGTCATTTGACTAAAATGAAAAATACACAGAAATGCTTTAGAGAAGTGCCTGACGCAAAGTACATAATTCCGAGGATTACCATGATTGGCACTTTCAGAAAGGTTATGCCAATGGCTTGTTGATAAACGTAAGTATGTCTGACTTCTAACACCTTTCATGCTTTCAAAGGAGAAGGCTGACTGTGCGCCCACCCTGTACACGGTACTAAAGATAAACACCTTGCTCCGTAACTAAAGGTCGCTCGCATCCGGCCCGTGTCTGGCACACATGCCGCTTCCGTGCTCACTCCGACACTTCATCAGGCCACAACTTACTGTTTATGGAGACTACTCCTTCATTCTGGAAGCTGTCACTGTGTGGGCTCTGACATTAGAACACACTTGGTAATTTTTCTTTATTTTGTGACTATTGACATCCTGGTGGAATGCTGCTAAGCAAAGTATTCTTTTTGCACTTTGATACAAAAATACCGATTTACAACTTTTCCGAGTTAAAATTAGTTCTTTAGAGCAACTCTGTTAATTCACCCACACTGCTCGGGACTTCTTGTTAACTTGGGAAATCCTTTTACTATCATATAGAAGTGGAAATTGTGTTTACAATTCTGCCCTTCAGGAACCTACAGGCTGGGTACCACCCCCAATGCAGACAGGCCCCCTCTCGAGGCATTCCCCTACTGCTGGGGTTCAGAAGCAGTGGTCAGAATCCCATGACCTAACACCTGACTGATCTGACCTCACCTAGTAGGCACTCCTGGGTTTACCTCACTGTTGGGAGTTACACAACTATACTTCTACACAATCTTGCCTAGGTCTGTCATTTTCCCTGAGTTAACTGAAATCACAAATTCTGGAAGTGAATCATGAGACGGCCCAGCTCTGCCTAAACAGAGGGAAGCAGGAATAGTCCAGTGAGCACTTTCATGCTCACAGTAACTCTATGACAATGTTATTTTTCCCATTTAGACCCAAGGAAACTAGGCCTGAGCAATTTCCTTCAAGGTCACACTCGGTGGCACAGCTGGGTCTCAGCCCAGGTCTGTCTGACATCAATGTTAATGTGGTTAATCCATCATGTATAATTTTCTCACGCCTCTGAAATTCTTTCCCATTGTTTTCTCGATTTGTAATATCTTTAGCATATGTTCTACGAGCAACGTCTACTTTCTCAGAGATGACCCTTGGTTTTATGCGTTTTCTCTCTTTCTGCGAAGGGCTAATGCAAGGATGTGTGAGACCTGTGTTTTACTGAGGAGAGGTCGGTCTGGGAGGCGCGTTATCGGCAAAACTTGAATTACCGCCTGTTAATCATTCATCTTAACAAGCCCGTTGTGACTTTTTTTTTTTTGACGCGTACACGTCACCTCTTTAAACTGATAATGTGATGAGACCGTCACGGGGCGCTTCTCTGTATGCGGCCGTCACTCGGCCTTGGGGACGGCCGGTGACGCATGCGAAGCGGGTTTGAGTTCAGAGGGCGCCCAGGGCTGCAGGTTCCACCAGGCGGAGGAGACGGCACGTCCTGGGAGAGGAAAATAACTCTGCGGAGGGGTCATCTCCCCGAGCGCCTGAAGGTGCTACGCTGGGGGACCTGTCACGGCTGTTGAGAAGAACGTCGGGGACGTCGCCGCGCGGCACCGCCTTCCTCCCCGGAAATCCGGATCAGGGGAAGAGAGGACAGGAAGCGGAGAGAGTGGCAGAAGCCCTGGCGTTGTGTCACCGCTGATTCTACCAGGCCTTTCTTTTTTTCAACGAGAGTGCAGAAAACCCGGGGGGCCGTGCAACCGCGTTAGGAGCACGTCGGGGCGCGCGGCGTCTGGGGTCCCCGGCACGACCCTGCGAGGGCTCGGGGTCGGCGTCCGTCCTCCCGCCTCGCCCTTCTTTCCGGTTCCCCGCGGGCCCTGACGGTGCGCGGTGACGCCAACACCGTCCCTCCGCCTCGCCCCCCGTCCCGGCCTTGCTGTCCCCGCGGACAGGTGGCCTCGCCTCGCCGGGCCGCACTTAAAAA